GCTGAGGAGGTGCTGGAGGGGTGGGATCTGAAGAGGCAGAGCTGCCTTCACTGCTCCTTGGCTGATGGCGGAACCCTACCTCTGCGCGGTCTCCAGCCGGTAAGGTCAGGGCTGAGAGAGGTGCAGTGTCCCGAGGTCACCACCAGGGGACAGGCGCGCCTGCTCTGCTCTCCAGTGTCTATCTCATCTCTCGGCTGTTTTATTCTGTTGAGGAGCCCTCCTTGGTCCCCTGCCCTCTCCATAGCCCCGGTGTTCCTTTCTCTCCCTCGCTTCTCTCAGCCTATCACTCCTCCTTTAGGTCATCCCGTCCAGCCGTCAGTGCAGGACCAGGCAGCCTCCCAACTCGACCGCCCAACTCTTGGACAGTCCTGGAGCCTCTCTCATTTCCCCAACTTCATGAGTGACTGACTAATGAGCAGAAAGTACCTTCTATTGTCTCACCTCTTCTGCTGTCATGCAGCTCAGGTTCTCTGGTTTTGTCTCCAGGCAAAACGGGAGTGTTTATGGGTTCACTCTTTCTAACAGGTTTTCTTATGATGTGTCAACAAAGCTCTCCTCCAAGCCCAAGCCCCTTTTTTAGCCCCCAGAACACAGTCCCAAGAGTGCCCCCCTTACTTTGATGGGAATGTTCTCTCCTCACTCCAGGACAGCACCCACATCCATGGAACCTTGATCCCTCTGGACCTGATCTCCTCATCCTTTTGCTATCTGGCACATCTCAGATCCTGTTCCCTCAGGTCCCACCTTTCATATCCCCTCCATGCTCCCACCTTCCCTCCCCGCAAGTGAATTGCACAACTTTGAGAGGTTCAACTCCGTTAAATGGTTCCTTACCATCTGGACCCTGTCGTCACACTCCTTCCTCCAGGAAGCCTTCCCTCTCCCCAGTCTAGGGTCTAGAGACAAACTGAATGCTGGCTCTGCCGGGGACCAGCCATGCCACCTTTCCCTCTCTAATTCCCCGTTCCTTCGTCTGTAAGATGGAGACAGAGACCCGTGGCTCTCAGACTTGCTGGGAGGCCTGAGTGAGGTGATGGATGTGGAAGCGCTTAGCACAGTGCTAGCCCATGGGAGGTGCCCTGGGGGACAGTCCCCTGTCCTTCAAGTGCAGCTGCCACCCCCACTGTCCCCCAACTCCGGCCTGCTGGCGGGAACCTGCCCTTGTCTCTGTGCCCTGGCTGCTTCCTCTTCTCCCACGGCCCCTGGGCAGACCACTGGCCCAGACAGAGAGGGAAGAGGCAGGGACTCGGGCGTGCAGCCACCGTGTAGAGGAGACGGGGCGGGGTGGGGGGACGGGCCGGTGTGAGCTCTGTGGGGACCTCAGACCAGAACTGCAGGGCTGTGTCCTCACTCTACTGTGCATGAGTGGAGTGGAGTCCACTGTCCTCCTCCCTGGAATTATTGGGGGCCCCTTCTGGCCTGAGTGGGGAAAGGGCCCCCACAGAGTCCCCTGAAGCTTTGCGGGGACCAGAAGGCTGGTGGGAGGTGAAGGAGGGGAGGCAGGGCAGGGGAATACCGACCACACAGTATTCCGAGTCCCTGCTCCTCTCCCATCCACCCCCACCCCTCCACCAAACACGATCCCTGGGTTAATTTTTAGCATCGCAGCTCGCACATTAGTCACTCCCTGTCACCCACCTACACGGCAGGAGGCTGCTGTGCTGGTGCCGTCATCCCACCAGCTGAGAGGTGGGACCCAGCCCCGCCCTAGGCACCCCCTCACCCTGCTCTGGGTGCACGCAGCCAGCCAGGAGCCCCCTTCGGGTGAGGGCTACTGACATCACCCCAAGATTAGCTGCATGGAGGGAGGGGAGGAACAGGCTGGGAATCTATTCTGGGAGGAGAAAGCCAGGCAGGCCCTTGCAGGCCCCCTGCCCCCGTAAGGTGCTGTGCCCAGGCAGCGGGTCTCCTGGGAGCCCTGAGCTCTGGGAATAAAGGTTCGAGGGGGCCCCTCCCCTAGACCTGAGCCCCTGGGAGCTACTCTTTATCATCACTGCACAGCAGCTGTTCAAACAGGGAGCTTGGGGAAGCTCCATTTTCTTAAGCAAATGTCCTCCTTCCCCAGGACCAGGGAGGGCAGGGTGGCCAGGTGCAGGCGCCCTGGCTGGAGCCGACACCCAGCCCCGAAGGGATTTCACCGAGAGGGGTCCACAGATGCCAGGGACAGATGGAGCAGGGGAGGGGCCTCCTCTCCCCGCCCCAGGGCTGAGAGGTGTGGCAGTAGCCATCCTGTCCAGGTCCCCCCCCCCCCAGGCATTCCTGTTTATTGAGCACCTGCTGTGTGCCTGGCTGTGTTAGGCCCTGGAGATACAATGTAACAAGGCTGAGTTTCCTGCCTTAGGAAGGCAGAGATTCAAAAGAAGTCAGCATAATTACCAATTGGGAGTAAGTGCTATAAAGAAAGAAAAATAGAAGGCTCAAGATAAAGAATAAGGGGCGGGCCCGGTGGTGTAGTGGTTAAGTTTGGCTCTCCGCTTCGGCAGCCTGGGGTCCACAGGTTCAGATCCTGGGTGCAGACCTGCTCACCACTCATCAAGCCATGCTGTGGCAGCATTCCATATACAAAACAGAGGAAGATGGGCACGGATGCTAGACAGGGCCAATCTTCCTCAGTAAAAAGAGGAGGATTGGCAACAGATGTTAGCTCAGGGCTAATCTTCCTCACCAAACAAACAAAGATAAAGAATAATAGGGACAGGGAACTACTTCTAATCAGATCCAGGAAACCTCTTCGGAAGAGGTGATGTTTAAGCTGAGACCTGAGGTTTGAGGAATCAGTCTTGCAAAGAAGACTACTGCAGGCAGAAAGAACAGCATAGGCAATGATCAGAGGCAGGAGGAGCTTGGCATATTTGCGGAATAGATAGAAAGAATAGTGTGGCTTAACTATGACTAGTAAGTGACATGGAAGGAGAAACAATTTAAGCTTGAAGAGACAGGCCAGGACAAGATCCTGGGGGGCCTCAGGCAGGGCATCCCGACGTAGTTGCAGAGGTTGTGCACTGCACAAAGGCTCCCAGTTGCCAAATTGTTGGGCCTGTGTGGCTGCTGTCAATCCAGAGGAAGAGATGCCTTTTTGTAATTTGTCTACCCAGAGGGACAACATGTTATGGATAGGCTATGGTCAAGAGTTTGGATTTTATTCTTTTATTCCAGGGGAAGCCGTAATGGGTTTTAAACAGAGGAAGGTTGTGATCTGATTTCCTTTTGGAAAAAACGGCCCTGACTGCCGTGTGGAGAAGGGATGGTCCAGGGGCGAGAGGAAGCCGGCAGCGCACTCAGGGGGCAGGGGCAGGGGTGTGGGAGGGAGAAGGGGGGGGTGGCCTGGCTGCAGGAGAGCGCCACTTACACCCCTCTTAGAGCCGCCCCTTGTCTGCCGGTTACTGCCAGTGAGGAGCACTGGCGCAGAAGTCTCAAGTCCCAGGCCCAGCTCTGCCACTTCCTTGTTGTGTGACCCCAGATAGGTCGCTTGTCCTGAGTCACCTCAAAGAAGGTGGTGACCACCTCCTGGGGATGCTCTGAGCATACCCTGTACAGTCTTCATTGAGGTTCTACTGTGTGCTAACATTGGGCAAGAAATGAAGCAGCAAGTAAGACAGAAGAGGCCCCTGAGCTCTGCTGCAAGGAGTGTGCACCCTAATGGGTAGGGGCCGGGGGGAGGACAAAGCGCAGAAGGGTCAACTTCAGGTGGTGCTGATGCGTGATGGAAATAAAGCAGGCCTCTGTCCCAGCGGAGGGGGTGACTGTGCTAGACTGGGTGGGAGGGCCTCTGGGAGGCAGAGCGGAGGACTGAAAGAGCCAGCTATGGGAAGAGCAAGTCAGAGACCCCGAGGGGCGGGGATCAGAGGTGGAGCGGGGATCAGAGGTGGACCGGGCACAGCAAGGCGCCCAGAGCAGGGAGCGAGAGGGAGACAAGAAACTGAGGCAGATGAAGGTCAGATGTCTCAGCACAGGAGTTAGAATCTTATTCCAGGAGTCCTGGGAAAGCACTGAGGGATTCTAGAGCAATGGAGTGATCTGTGATGGGGCGGATGAAGGCTAAGGTCTGAGGCCCCAGACCCCAGGAAGAGAGGGTGCCAAGCTGAATTATTTACACAGGGGTAGTTAAGGACTTTAGACCAGCCTCGGCCGCCACCTGTTGTGGGTTTTTGGGAAGGAGGCTCAAAGTACACTCAAACAAGAGGCCCAAGTTCTGAAGACGGTGTGAGGCCTCTAGTTCAGGCCCATACATGTAAGCTAAAATCCCTCAGACTCTTTTCCCTGGCTGCAGGCTCCAAGCAAATAAGATGTAAAATACTGTGTGTGTGTGTGTGTGTGTGTGTGGAGGCAGAGTGTGTGATCGAGTCAGAGCTTGCTGGAGCCCAATCCTCCCCTTCAGGCAGTCACCACGCTGACACAGATGCAAAAAACCGTCAATTTTATAGTTTGTGGTTCAGAAGCAACAATATGCAAAATGGTGGAACAGTCTATGCTGCCCCCACCCACCTAGACATGTCCATTCCTGTCCCCCAAGGGGCGGAGAACCCAGGACCCCTGCCCGGCAGGATCCGACTTAGTTACAGGCCCCTGGGAGGGGCCAAGCCCTTAGGGGTCAAGGCCGGGAGGGAAGGGGACCAGCACCGTAGGCCGGCTCAGGGGCCCACTGGTTCACTGGAACTGCGTGTGTGTGTGTGTGTCGAGGGTGAGGGAACCGCTGACCATAGGCCATTTCTCCTCCAGGCCATGGGTGGGGAGCAAATAAAGCTGAGGAGAGGGCTTCGTGGGATAGGATCCCCCTCCCTCGAGGAGGAGTTTACCTGGACACCCCACAAGGCACTACTGACCCAGATGTAGGATGGCACGCCCCATGTTTGGCCCCCGAACCTCTCCCAACCCCGAGCTGGCCCAGTTCCCCTCTGCTCCCCCTCCCACGGTGGTGTGGGAAGAAGCAAAGGGGTCTGGCGCCTGGGTTCACTGCTGGCTGGGCAGAGACAAGCCAGGTACCCAGCACACCAGCAGGAGCTGGCTGGCGAGGACCCTCTCCCGCTGCTCTGGGCTCCTGGGGTCCCCTCCGGCCGGCGCCCGCCCCCGCCCCCTTTTTGCACTGGCAGGAACGAATAAATAAATAAATACCTTCCCCGCCCGCCCGCCCCTACAGCTGGCTCTCCTCCTCCTCCAGGGAGCGGTTGAGTCCGGGGATGAACTTGAGCAGCCGCCGGCGGAAGCTGCGGTACTTGGTTTTGCGCAGCCCGGGCGCGCACAGGGCCTGC